CACTAGAATTCAATCGAGAGAAGGAAATGAATGGCGAGGAGCGTGAATAAAACCAAATTCACAAATTATGCTGAGTTTCATCACATCAGACCTTTTTTTTAAACTCTCACAGGTAAAATGAAGTAATTTGTTTTAGTGAGGGTTTGTCGAATTGCAGTGGTGAATTCACAAGATACCCTCTGACATATATTTAGCAATCATCAAATATGAGGTACTCAGAAACTTTAATTAGACAAAATAGGAAGACTTAAGTACTACGAGAGAGAAGGAATAATCTGAAATAACATCTCAAATTTTACCTCAAGTATTTCTAAGTTGGGACATCTTTGCAGCAAAAGACAATGGCCTTCAGTGTCCAGCAGAGCATAGAGGAGATCCAATTTCTTAAGCCTTGAAGCAATAGGATAGAGAATGGGCATATCCGAGTTTCCCAGGTAAGTAAGAGCCAAGCGGCACAATCTTGGTGGGAAGGCAAGACCGCCATATCTTTCCAATTGCTCATTATAAACACCTTCACCAACCTGTCCAGGGGGGTCACTAAATGAGCCCCCACAAAACTCCTCTAATGAAGTAGCAGCTTTGAAAAAAACAACAAGGTCTGAAATATCACAATCGCTGATTTTCATCGACGCCAAAGATGGACAATTTCTTGCAATCATTTCAAGGTCGCTAGAACTGACTTGCATAAGCTCAGTCATGTAGAAGTTCAAACTTTCAAGAACCTTGTTGTTCTGAGCAAGCTCACGCAACCATTGTCCATCATTCTCTGTTATTGAGCTCTCTTCCAAAAATAAGCTCCTCAGATTCCTAATAGAACAGAAGTCAAGCTCATTAAACAAATGATTTTTTTTCTTTTTTTTTTCTTTTTTTTTTTTTTANTTTTTACGTAGAGAGAGAAGCAGAAACAATATAGCTACTACATAGAGCCAAAGAACCACTGTATTGATCTTTTGAATTTAACCCCAGTGAGCATCAGCAAATTGCCAGCTCCTAAGCAGGACTTCCGTAAACTGTTTATCCACATATTCCCTTCTGCAAAATCTAGCAGTCGCATTCAGAACTACGGAGAAGGTAAAAGAGCCTGAGCCTGGCACTGTTGAATATTTGTAATACCCAACTAAAACATGCATTCGTACTTGGTAAACAAATGAGACATGACAAGAAAACAGTACTCCACAGCACAAATCCACAAAAATACCGATGTGATTTCTTACAATCTTGTTATGCCTTCATAAAACCATTATATTTATTTTCTAGGTACTACATTTCATATTTAAGACACAAAATCTGCCACAGAAAACAATTGCAATTCCTTCAAGGTGAGTTACTCCCAGTATCACAAAGTCAATAATGTAAATGACAGTAATTTAATGGTGTTAACAATGACATCAACATTTAATTTGTTTTGTTTTCACTAGAAGACATAGAGGTAAATCCTATCTACATTCTTCCAGCTGGGTATGTGTGTGTGTGTGTGAGAGAGAGAGAGAGAGAGAGAGAGAGACGAGAGGTCAGATAACTTTTTTTCGCAGTCATGCACTCAATAATCTAAACAATTGGTCAGTCGTCAGCTAGTATGAAAAGAAATATGTCTTTCCTGGTTCATCAGTCAATGCCAAAAAAGTACTTTTGACTCGATATCCATTCTATTGAGATCAAAAAATTTGCAGCCATCAACCTTTACTTTCAAATCATGAGAGGACAAATTCCAATCCTCATGACAACTTGAGTTTGAAACCTCAATCCAACAGTCAAGACAAGTCTGGTAGGAATGCTTGATGACAAGGTCAATCGAGAACATCGAGAGATTATGACAAATTGGTCATACGTCCATACGAATAAGTTTTAGGAGCCATGTTTATTAACATGTTTCTTACCAGTTTGACTACAAAATGACATTCAATCTATCCTCGCATGTGTAGTCTGTTCTTTGGATAACTTTTTAAAGAAATTGGCTGGTATGTTTTTTGTGCCCCAACTGAACCAGTCACAAAAACTGAAACAGCATGGACAATTAAATTCAGAAAATAGCTGGAGAAGCTTTCACTGCAACTTATAGCTGAATGTTTTTTTTTTTTTTTCATTTTTTTTTTTTTTTTCATTTTTCAAGACTTCAGCTAAAAGAATAACTATAAGTTTGGTGCACTGAGATACAATCAGAGGTTATGAAATGACTAGGCTCATTTGACAACTCACAGAATACAGAACTCCCAGGTTAAACAAGGCATCACCACCGCAGAGGGAAAAAAACATAAGAATTGGGGCAGGCTCATTAAGTTCATTTAAAAAGAAATTAAAACTGTAAGCAACATATATTGACGAACCTCAAACCATTTACATACACCAATTAATGAAACACCTCCCCAAAATAACAAGCAGCAGTCAAAAAAACCTATAACAACAAATCATTTATAGCTTGACTTCCCTCAAAGGGAAAAATAACTACCCAGAGATATCCCAGAAAGTAATTACTCCCCACACACGCATAAGAAAGCAGAAGAAAAAAAGATATAAAAATAGCAAACATAAATTAATACGGGAAATACTCGATAGAGCACTTTGAAATGAAAATTCAAACATAAGTCCATGCTCCAGCACGTTTAACTACCTGCACGAGCGCGTGATATGCAGAAGCCCATCGGTAGAGAAACCAGAACACTTATCCAACCTCAGGACTTCCAAAACCTCCCCAAATGAAGCAGCCAGCAGCTGGAGATCCGAATCCTTGACAATCATCCTCCGGAAGTGCAGCACCTTCATCCTCCCAAACGACTTGACGATTTCCTCCACCCAGGGCGTCACGTACCCGCCCCAGTCCTCCGGGATCAAATTGAACATGGCGGCGCGCGGCTTGCCCTTGAGCTTCAGAGACTCGAGGTGTGGGAACCTCCGGGGGAGCCTACGCGGGGGAGCCGTGTAGCAGAGCGCCATGGTCACGTGCTTGCGCGTGATGGCGTCGATCTCGTACCAGTGCTTGCACACGAGGGACACCGCGTCCCGGTCACGCGGGTCCTCCACGTACGGGATCACGCACTCCCACACGGTGTCATCGGCGCCGTCGTATCCGCCGCCGTCGCCGCCGCAGCTGGTGGTGCAGCCGCTGATCTTCTTCAATCTACCTTCGTCCATGGATTCTGTCACCAGAATTCAAGCTAGCATATGAGCTAGGCGGTGATTGGGGGAGAGCTTGGCCGGGGTGTGTGGCGGAGAGAGAGAGAGAGAGAGAGAGTTTGTGCGGCTATACTGATGAGAAATGAGGAAGGAGATGGGAGATGGAAAGGGACTGAGGAGAAAAGGACAAGGTAATTAGTAAAGTGTAGCCAATAGAGAAACCGCACGTCGGGCTACCAAGAATACCTGCGCATTTCTCGTTGAAAAATGTGAAATTATGACAAATTTTATTTTTTATACAAACTCTACTTTTATTAAATTAATCTAATTTGTCTCATCCATTTATGGGTTATGTCAGTTTTTATTAAGTTAATCTAATTTTTCTGATTCATTTTATTAAGTAATGCTAAATAGCCAACTGTTGGCTCCGTTATGGAGCCAACAGGCAATGGGACAGCCCCACATGGGGCTGTCCCACGATTGGAGCTATGTAGGACAACCCCACATGGAGTCATCTCATTGGTTGTTGACTTCATAACGGAGCCAACAGTTGACTCCTTAGTATTATTGTCATTTTAATATTTTATGGGTCACGCGTTAGTTTTTATTAAATTAATCTAGTTTGTCTGATTCATTTACGGGTTATCCTCCTCTATAATCCCCAAATATGTTAGCTTAAGTGGCAGACTCGCATGTTTCGGGATCTTAAGTATCAAAATTGCTTCATTATTTGGCTTGGATAGATTTTAATTTAATTTCAATCTAAAAATAATTAGGTTCGGATTACCATAAATATGTTGATTTGTTTATAATCATTTTAGATGTATTAATTGTATTTTAATATAATTCTTATTATAAATATTGAATTATAAATGTATTTTAAAAGTTGATAAATTTTGTATTTCTTATCGATTTACACATATAATATATCAAATTAATCATTTTTTTGATGAGCTTCGATTTGATATCCATATTATATATATAAATAAATAAATTATATTTATCTTTATAATAATAATAAAATTATTTATCAAAATTAATTAGAAAA